GTCTTTATGCTGTCCTTGATGAGTGTGTGTGTGGCGCTTCACTTCGGGATACTTCGGTGATGTTTCCTCCTCCTAGGATGCTTCAAATCTTGTCTCTATGCTGTCCTTGATGAGTGTGTGTGTGGTGCTTCACTTCGGGATACTTCGGTGATGTCTCCTCCTCCTAGGATGCTTCAAATCTTGTCTTTCTGATGTCCTTGATGAGTGTGTGTGTGGAGCTTCACTTCGGGATACTTCGGTGATGTTTCCTCCTCCTACTATGCTTCAAATCTCGTCTTTATGCTGTCCTTGATGAGTGTGTGTGTGGCGCGTCACTTCGGGATACTTCGGTGATGTTTCTTCCTCCTAGGATGCTTCAAAATCTTGCTTTTATGTTGTCCTTGATGAGTAGGTGTATGGCTCTTCGTCCCGGGGTACCTCAGTGAGCATTCCTCTAGGGTAGATGCTGTTCACATTGTCCGTTTGCTATTCTATGTGCATGGGTAGGGTGTTGTTCACATTGTCCGTTTGCTGTTCTATGTGCATGGGTAGGTTGTTGTTCACCCGGTGGTACTTCGCTGTTCAACCCCGGGGTAGGGTGCTGTTCACATTGTCCGTTTGCTGTTCTATGTGCTTGGGTAGGTTGCTGTTCACCCGGTAGTACTTCGTTGTTCAACCCCGGGGTAGGGTGCTGTTCACGTTGTTCTTTTGTTGTTCTATGTGCATGGGTAGGTGGTGTACTTCGCTGTTCATCCCCCGCGGTAGAGTGCTGTTCACATTGTTCTTTTGCTGTTCTATGTGCATGGGTAGGCTGCTGTTCACCCGGTGGTACTTTGCTGTTCAAACCCCGGGGTAGGGTGTTGTTCACATTGTATGTTGCTGTTTTATGTGCATGAGTAGGCTGCTGTTCACCCGGTGGTACTTCGCTGTTCAAAACCCCGGGTTAGGGTGCTGTTCAGATTGTCTGTTTGTTGTTCTATGTGCATAGGTAGGTTGTTGTTCACTCGGTAGTACTTCGCTGTTCAACCCCCGCGGCAGGGTGCTGTTCACATTGTTCTTTTGTTGTTTTATATGCATGGGTAGGTTGTTGTTCACCCGGTAGTACTTCGCTGTTCAACCCCCGGGGTAGGATGTTGTTCACGTTGTTCTTTTGTTGTTCTATGTGCATAGGTAGGTTGCTGTTCACCCGGTAGTACTTCGCTGTTCAACCCCCGGGGTAGGGTGCTGTTCACATTGTTCTTCTGCAGTTCTATGTGCATGGGTAGGTTGCTGTTCACTCGGTGGTGCTTCGCTGTTCAACCCCCAGGGTGGGGTGCTGATTACATTGTCAGTTTGCTGTTCTATGTACATGAGTAGGGTGCTGCCCACCCGGTGGTGCTTCGCTGTTCAATCCCCGGGTAGGGTGTTAATCACATTGCCGTTTTGCGGCTCTAGATGCTTGGGAAGGTGTCAACGGATCAATTCTTGTTGCTTCCTCTCTTGGGAATCTACAGGGGGCACATGCGGTAAAGACCAGCGACCTACGAGAAAAGCATAAGGGGTAGGGAGTTGGGCGGTAGAATAGGAATCGGTCGCGGACCACGGGACAAGCGAGCCATCACCCACACCTGTCCACCATAACCGGCCGCCCCTAACCCTTCTTCCTCCTCCATCACCCACACCCATCCACCATAACCGACCACCTTCAACCCTCCTTCCCCCTCCATCACCCACACCCATCCACCATAGCCGACCACCTTCAACCCTCCTTCCCCCTCCATCACTCACGTCCATCCTCCATAGCCGGACCTCCCCAACCCTTCTTCTTCCTCCATCACTTACACCCGTCCACCACAACCGACCTCCCTCAACCCTTCTTCCTCCTCCGTCACCCACACCCGTCCACCATAGCCAACAACCCCCAACCCTTCTCCCTCCTCCGTCACCCACACCCGTCCACCATAGCCGACCGCCCCCAACTCTTCTTCCTCCTCCATCACCCACACCCATCCACCATAGCCGACCACCTTCAACCCTCCTTCCCCCTCCATCACTCACGTCCATTCTCCATATCCGGACCTCCCCAACCCTTCTTCTTCCTCCATCACTCACACCCGTCCACCATAGCCGATCTCCCTCAACCCTTCTTCCTCCTCCGTCACCCACACGCCTCCACCATAGCCAACACCCCCCAACCCTTCTCCCTCCTCCGTCACCCACACCCGTCCACCGTAGCCGACTCTCCTCCATCACCCACAACCGTCCGCCATAGCTTACCACCCCCAGCCCTTCTTCCTCCTCCATCACCCACACCCGACCACCATAGCCGACCTCCCTGAACCCTTCTTCCTCCTCCATCACCCACACCCGTCCGCCATAGCCAACCACCCCCAACCCTTCTTCCTCATCCATCACCCACACCCGTCCGCCATAACCGACCACCTCCAGCCCTTCTTCCTCCTTTATCACCCACACCCGACCACCATAGACGATCTCCCTCAACCCCTCTTCCTCCTCCATCACCCACACCCGTCCGCCATAGCCGACCACCCCCAACCCTTCTTCCTCCTCCATCACCCACAACCGGCCGCCAGAGCCGACCGCCCCCAACTCTTCTTCCTCCTCCATCACCCAAACCCGTCCGCCATAGCCAACCACCCCCAACCCTTCTTCCTCCTCCATTACCCGCAACCGTCCGCCATAGCCGACCGCCCCCAACTCCTCTTCCTCCTCCATCACCCACACCCGTCCGCCATAGCCAACCTCCCTCAACCCTTCTTCCTCCTCCAGCACCCACACCCGTCCGCCATAGCCGACCACCCCCAACCCTTCTTCCTCCTCCATCACCCACACCCGACCACCATAGCCGACCTCCCTCAACCCGGGGCCCCGGGTAGGATCGGCTAGGGTAAGTCAATAAGCAAGGTCGATTAGGATGAGAAGCTTCTTGTTTTTTTTTTTTTTTTTCTCTCTCTCTCTCTCTCTCTCTCTCTCTCTCTCT